AATAAAATTTAGAACTTCCATTGAAATGGTTTAGATTGGAATATATATTGTCTTCTGTTGAAGAAGATGAAAAAATTAAATTTATATTCATGTTTTAAAATTAAATTATATAAACATGCATTTGAATGTAAACTGGGATATAATCATATAATAATGATGATGATGATGATAATGTACTTTCTTGATGTGGTATGGGGAAATTTTATTGTTCTAAATTATTTCTCTGTTTTATAACATTTTGAAAATATACATCAAATTAACGTGAAATAATTGTTTTCAACAACAAAGAAGAGGGTCTTTGTTAAGCCTGGGTTTCTTAGGACTTGATAAGAATCCCTAAGAAGGGCGGGTTCATCCAGTTTCAGCAAAGCAAGCATGCCTGCTTTTTTTCCAGGAAGAAAGGGAATCCAAATTTTATTGGATCCTTAACTTCAGCAATCTTTCAGCTCTGACATAATTTTAAAAAGATACTTAAATTGTCAAAACTCAACGGGCCAAGAAATCCTCCAGAGAGCAGGACCTGTTGGAAGCTGGGCAGCTTCTCCTGAGGTCTAAAAACAAGAGCGAGTGCTGTCTGAGGGAGCACCTTGCCTCTGGAACTAGTAGGAGGTTGTTGATAAGAACAGTTGTTAAGCTGTAGATTATTTACTTTGCCTTTCGTTTTTGAACCAAAAGAATGGAATCTAAAGACTTAGAATAATGTATCCATAGAGCTCAAGAACTACTGAGAGAACGAAGAATTGAATTGAATTGAAAAGATGTTGAAAATCTCTCTCAGGAGATCTGTACATTTATATTTCTGCTCTTGAAAAATTGTCAGTGGACAAAGGTCATGACAGTCTGAAAAAAAAAAAGACAGAAAAAGGTCCCAAGAAGTTGAGGGAAGTGTTGAAATAACTTCAATATTCGCTGCACATGGGTTAACCAGAGAAGCAAGCTAAATAGTAAATCTTGGTATCTGCCAAAGGATTGCACTTTACCAATGCCAGTCGGTTAAATTTCCTTTTATGATGTTGAAATCCTATTGAGAAGAATTTTGCTGGTTTTTTTGTCCAAACATCACAAAACTGTCATGGCATAAATAATGCTTTCGGTCCTAGTTGAGACCACCAGATCTCTGGAATGCCTTCCCTTCAGCCCTTCAGTTCTTTAGAGGGATCCAGGAATTCCAGAAGCACTGTCAAGTATGCAAGTACATTTGTGCAGGCTTGGGGGAGGGGGAGACACGGACCTGGGGTGTAGGCCCAAGTAAAACACTTATGTGTTACACATGACGGATAAAATTAGACTGACCTTCCTTTCCAGACTAAATTTGTTACAATTCCAGGAATCCTTTCCCTTTGCAAAACTTTCAAATCCATCTCCCCTGCATTACAGGTTTTGTTAGATTTAAGGATTGCAAAACATTGACTGAGAGGCTATGCAAACAATTATTTCCCCAGAGAGTTAGCAAGTCATATATTTATTAAAATTTGTGGGGTTATATCTTAGGGGAGGTTTCAGTCTTAGTAATGTAGCTTAGATAGGCCAGGAAAAAATGAGTGGGTAACTCAGGTTTCAGCCATCCTGCTATTTGAATGGTACCCAGGGAGACCTACCCTCGGGATCTCCAGCCAAATTCTAGAGGCCATTAGAAATTGACTCAGCTGTTACTATTATTTCCTTCTTCTTGTTTATTATAAATAATGGGATTCTAATTTTAGAGGAAATCGTAAGGAGCCACTCTGCTTCTTTATAGCTGGGAATCCAAAGCCAAATCCATATGAAAATATGACCACGAGTTTGAGCACTCTGAGGGAGTGTCTTGTCACATTAGCACAGACACACAGAGGGGCAGTCAGCGGGCTCAAGATCTGAAGAAGCAGGAGGTGTTCATGCTATCTGGGCCCAGTCAGTTGGCAGTTACCTCTTCCTTCCCCAAGTTCCAGGTCTTATTAAATAATGTCTAGCAAGAAAGTCTTTCTAAACTCAATGCTATTATTTTTGTTCCAGTAATAAGTAAAACAGCAATGTTGTGTAGACCTGAAAAGAAAATTAATTTGGGTTGCTCATGTCAAATTATTTATAGACACAAAGGAAAATAAATACGTGGGCTTATTAGTCACACTTGCTGCCCAGTCAGAGCCAACCGCTTTAGCTCAATAGGAAGCACATTAGTGTGAAGCCACCTGCTCACTGGTGCATGCAAGAGTCGCCACAACACTGCACTGCTCTGGTGACAAGACCTGGGTTCAAGTCGTCCATGTAGCATTTAGCTTTGTTTTCTTTTTGGGAGAGTGTAATGATGGTCTGCCACAACAGGTAATAATCTTTAGCAACGTTGGAATCTGAAGGAACATGCATTTGAAAAAACAAAACAAGACGAAAGAACAAAGCACATCAGAAAGGACTTCTCTGCTAAAATCAAGCAGCTAGTAATGGGTAAAACCAAGATTTGAGGCCGGACTTCTTACTCTGTAGCCTATGCTTTCATTTCTTAAATCTTTGGAGAGAACTTTTTGATGGTTTGACTTTTTTTTTTTTTAACTCCACTAAATATTAACTCTTTACCTCTTCCAACCCACTGTAAACAGAAATATTATATAGCGTGGTTTTTCTTTTCTCCTTGGTTGGACTTATGTGAACTGAAAGTGTTATTTTATCCCTTTAGTTTTGTTTAGTCTATTTAGATCAACCAAAATAGAGAGACATTGTTTCTCTTACATAAAAAGTTCATTTCTTTCTATCTTTTTTTTTTCACTGATGATCTAGATTTTGTTTTCTGAGCAACAATTACTATAGCTGCTGCTGATACGGAGACTGCAGTCAGAGAAATCATGAATACATTTGTAGTACGAACCTAGCTATACATGTTCATTCTGAGGAGAAAACATGAGTATTTCACAGAAACATTTATATGCCTATTAATAAAATTCCTCGGTTACTTTAGTCACTTGAACGGTTGATGTTTTTCTAGCTAGTTTATCATGGAGGATCTGCAAAGAGCTAAAGGCAGTAACAGTCACATTACCTGCCTATTGGGTTAACACACTTCTAAAGTTGTATTTCGCCTATGGCTGTGGCCATTTCTGGAAGGCTTTTACTTCTCCGTTGTGTCCCTGCCTGTTGTCAGCCTTTAAGAATCAAAGCCAATTAAACATTACTGCTGTACTCCATAACTTTCTTTTGGAAAGTTGGGACCTGCCCTGCTTCTCTGGAAAATCCATTCTTGAGAGTTGTCGTGAACATAACCACTAATAGACTGTTTAGCATCTGCGGAGGCCTTTTGTTTCCAGGATTTCACAACCATGGCCGTTTAATCCATAGAATATCCATGTGAGGTAGGTAGATATATTCAAGCATTAAAACTCCTGCAGGGGAATTTTGGTGCCTGTAGGAGTATTGTGATTGGCACAGACTGTCCCTGATTTCCCAGAGGCCAGACACCTGGAGAGGCTTTGCTTCAGGCCCGGGTACACACCAGCATTTCAGCACAGGGGTCTCTCTCTCTCTCTCTCTCTCTCTCTCTCTCTCTCTCTCTCTCTCTCTCTCTCTCATTTGCTCTCACTCCCGCTCTTCCTCCCTCCCTCCCTCCCTCCCTCCCTCCCTCCCTCCTTTTCTACCTCCCTCTCTTCCTCCTTCCCTCCCTCCTTCCTCCCCCATTTTGTCCCTCTCTCTTTTCTGTTTTATGAGTATCCAGTGTCTTTCTGCACCATGCACCATAGGCCTGTAATAGACCCAGTACCTACACCTTGTCATCCTATGACAAGGCTGTGGAGTAGATTCTGTTATTTGTTTGACAAACAAGAAAGCTAAGGCTACTAGGCTGCCCACAGTGAAAGAACTATAGTGAATCTAGTTCTGTCTGATTCCAAAGTCAGTTCTTCAAATGCTGCCTTTAAAATAGAGTGTATTGTATAGCTTATCGGATTGCTGGAAGAACATGGAGAGAAGGCATGCAACAGATAGGCCAGGCTAAAAGGGTGCATCCTGTTTACAAGACAGAGCAATGCCATGCAATCTCTCTCACCCACAGAATGCTTAGGAGAGCTCGTCTCTCTTACCACCGCCAATCATAACATCACAAATGAAAAGTGCTTGGATGTTCTTCTTTACTGATAATTCTGTCGAAAAATGACTGTTTCCTTGTAATAGCACATGTGAAAGCTATTACTGAAAAATTAGCTTTAAAAAATTCGAAGGGATTTTAATTAAAAAGAAAAGAAAAGAAAAGAAAAGAAGAGAAAACAAGTACGTGGAAAAGATACTCAATTGAAACAAAAGAGTCTGTTGTAGGCTTCCAGGTCTCCAATTCTCTCTCAAGTTATGGCTGGTCCAATACCTTCTAAGTCCTTTCAGAAGTATCCAGTGTTTGTCTTTGTACATGTGTGTGCATATGTGTGCACATTCTTACGTGTTGCAATTAAATTCTTTGTCTTCAGTATAATAGTTAAGTCCTAAGTATATTGTTAAAACAGAAATATATTCTGTGAACTTTGTCAGTAGTTTGTGACATTCTTTAAATGATTATTTATTTTACTTTTTAAAGAAAAATATAGTTATATATTATTATGTTCTTAAATGAAATATGAGTGAGTACAAGAAAATTCAAATTATAAGATGGTTTCCACTAAGTGTTTTAATTACAAGTTCCTGGGCTATACATGAGACAAAAAGTGTAATATATTAAGAATTAGATCCATAGAACCCAGTAGATTTGATTTTTTTTTTTTGAAATTTCTCAGTTTTTCCAGCTTTGATAAAATAAATTGCGTAGATCTTCCATGCTAAAAAGTAGGTAGTATTTTGAGGGGAAGGGAATAGTGTTAGAGTCAGTCATGTTCCAGAACAGTAGAAGATAATGTAAGGCTGTTTTATCTTGGAAATGGTATGTGTCTGGTATAAATTTAACCTATGGAGAACAAGCTTTAGTTTTCTCTAAACACCAGCTCTGGCCATCATATGTGTCTCAATGTAAAAGTCGAGTTGCTAATTCTTTTCTTTCTGTTTTCTAATTTTAGGTTTTAGTATAAAGGCAGTGCCATTCCAGAACGCCGTTTTGAATGTAAAAGAACTCGGAGGTATAACTTTTACAATCCTCTCTACATCTGCCCTTGACTTTACAAGTTGCAATTCGTGTATTACATGTAATTAAAATGTGATAATGCATTCTAGATGATTGATTTTTTCCCCTTCTCTTAATAATATATTTTGTAGTAATACTTCCTTTCCTTTACATATATATTAGCAATTATTCTAGAGCTATAAGTAATATAAACTTTGCTTTCTTATGTGTGAATCAAAGGATTCCACTAAGAGCAACTGGTATGCTTTATCATTCCTTTTTTATTTGCTAATTATTCTAAAAGGAAGCCTATGAAGAGAATCTAAAAAAGTTAAATTAAAAAATAAGTGACATAGGGCAAAGAATTACATTTAAGCGTAAATTTATATTGCAGGTCCAATTGTATCCAGTCTTTTTAGAATCTATTTGTTCCGATAATAAATCTTTGCCAATGGGTTCTTTGCTGGCTAGGCACATTTATTGGATAGGCTGTACCCCAAAGCTTCCATCAGTCCGTCTTTCATTACATTCTCTGTCTGGCATTTTTTTTTCAGTTGTGTTTTATGTCAGTCGGGGTCTTAACCCATGCAAATAGATTAACAAAGAAATCGGTCAATTCAGTGAACCTACTAAATTCTCTTGCGGCCCCAGAAAATGCTGAGCGCCAGAGTTCAGTATAGTATCGGCGAGCTTAGTGACTTAGAAGAACGTTCTCTTCTGTCTTCTTAATCATCTGTGATGGTGACCTTACCCTGCTCTTTGTTGTTGGTCTTTTTCCTTTCTCTGTCAAGGTCACTTCTAATTGTGACTTATTTTTGGTGTTGTGAAATGGAGACACTCAGCTTGATGCCATCTTATTAATGCTTGATGTGTTGCTATATTGTTCAATCAAGTGTTGACTGACCTTTCCAGGTGTCCGACAGTGTGACAGCAAACAGTGACTTTTACAGCATTGATATCGGAAAGCATCTGTGATTGAGCAATTATAGTTTTCTCTTAAATTGCTTAGTGTTACCATTTTACAGTGTCCTAGGACCATGAATATTGATCTTAGCCAGAAATCTGTCAAACAGTAAAACACAAACATTCTTGCAATAACTTCTGTGTAAAAAGTTTTAAGACTGCTTTCTAATAGATTGACTATTTGACTGTTGCTTTGTTTTCTGCTCGCTATTCTTCTAGTGACAATAATATTTGTAGACATTTCAGAGTCATAGATTCTAATATAAACATCTATAGACTCTAAATGTATGGTTTGAAAACTCTCTTAGTTTTAGTTATTAGGCTAGATTTAAAAAAAGATTTTCATTGAACATTCATCAGGGATAGCGTCAAATTTGTGAATTGGCAAGGTATTTATTGTATAAGATGTTTGTTTTATTTCATTCAAATAGTGAATGTTTCATAACATTTAAGAAAAATGAATGATGGGACCTAACATTGACCATATGCCGTTGAAACTGAGCGCAGTGAAAGATGAACTCGGAGGGGTGGGGATGTGTAGGATAGGTGTATGTCTTTTCCCAAGGAGGTTTATTTCTACTGCAAACAACACTGTCCTGACAGTTTGATGAGATGAAAATTGCAATGGAGAGGATGCCATAGGTGTATACTGGTCACTTTTTAATTATTTACTTACTATTAGGAGATGTAGGCACCAACCAGCACCTCTGGGGCTGGAGCAGTAGGCTACTTATAGACTAATGATGATGCAGTTTGTGTGTGCATTCGTGTGAAAGAGCAAACTTCTGACCCAACCATACATCACTATTCCTGTGTCAACTTTAACAACCCTGTTACCACTGAGTAACCATCCCAGGAAAAGGTAGACTTCTTATTACAGTTTGTGTATCTGTTTTGTAGGGTCAGGGGTAGGCAGCAGAGGCAGTTGATGTTTGGATGGGTTACCGTCTTGTTTACTTATTGAAAACTTAAGGTTGGCTACTCTGTTTTATCTCACTCTGGAAGGAGCATGGGCAGAGCGAGGCTAGCACTTTAAGCAAATCAAGTTTTGGGGGGGATTTAAAGTATTTCCGGGTACTGAGGAAATCATCTCAACGCCCAGCCAGTTAGGGAGAAGTATAACGTAGTGAAGTCAAGTTGCCTGGGAACTACTTGATCAAGTATTCTAAGCTCAGTGGGAGAGTTGAGTGTTTCAGGACGGCTGTGGGATGGCAGATGACCTGCATGCACCCGTGCTAGGCTTCTCAGAAAGATGGTCACTGGAGTCCAGTCAGTTTGTCAGTGTAGAGAAGAATGCAAAATTCAAGGGAGAAACCAAGCAAGGAGATGATAAAAGGTAGGCGGTTGGTAGGAGCGGAGGGAACAATGAGGTATCACAAGGAAGGTGCAGACAGTCATCTTTATCCTGCGGTTAACACAGGAGAGAGGCATGCCCTGTTCCTCCCCACTGACCTCCAGGCGCATGCTCTACCCTTCCAGGGAATGCCAAGGCTTGCTATCATTCCCCTTTCTTAATGTTTCAAAATAGAAAGGACATGAACTATCTGTCTTCCTTATTTAGAGCACAGGGTTAAGTAACCATAATGACTGGAGCTCAGTTTAATGAAAGTCACCTTGGGCCATCTTAATAACAAGCTATGTTTGTACCTCTAACTGAGCCGTGCTTTGTATATCCATGTATTTATCACATGTATGTGAAAGGTGTGCACTATATAGGGATACATAATGGTATGTTATTTTGCATTTCAGTTTTGTGATTCTCAGTCACATCAGTTCCTTCTTACATAGTATTTCCTCACAGTTTACACAGTCATCCCACCATATTGTGTCCGGGGCTGAGAATCAGTGTAAGTACAACACAGCCCCTATAGATTTGGTGACAGAGGGAATCCTGGATACACTTGTAGGAAATTAACGAAAGTTTGGAAAATCATAAAATGAATGGGTCAAAGCAATGACTAAAGTTGTAGAGGAATGCTGACACAGAGAGCAAGCAGTGCGGCCTGAGGGGTGTGATACTGGCCAGTTGTTTCCAGTATCCATGATAGCTTGTCCTCCACAGCTTTCCTGTCACACCTGCCAGGCCACACTGGTTATGCCTATGGTTTTGTTAACTTGTATTAATTGTGTGTCATAATGAATCTCACTGGGACATCTGTATGCATCTATAAAAAACGATTCTGGTCATATTTGCCCTGTTACCCTCGGGCCTCTTCTCATTTCTGTTGAAATGAGAACACATCCAGAAAAGGAAAAGCAAATGGATCCTTACGTAGCAGGGAACCTGTATGGACAGATGGCTTGTTCTTTGAATGAATTTTTCGTCTTCAATGACTGGTTTCCAGACTCAGCCACTGTGCTTGATACTGGGCCTGTCTGTGTTCCTGAGTATTTTCTTGTCTGTAAAATGTGGTAACAGTTTTTATGTCAAGTCATCTTGTGAGGGCCTGGCTTATAGCTAATATTATGCAAGATTTGTGTTCAGTAAAATTATATTCTTATAAATGTCAGGTAAACTTCTTTCTTCCTTTTTTATCCTGCCCTGCCCCTTTCATCTTACCCTCTTCCTTCCCCTCTTCTCCCCCACCCCAACAATATTCTCTTTTCTCCTGTTATATTTCCAGTTATGGCATCAAAAGGCCACCAGGATGGGAGCACATTCACTTAGCACTCCACAGGAGCTGATATTCAACTTTTTTTATTTTCGCCTCTCTCCACCCCACCACCATAACTTCTGTTTTTAGGTTTCACCTGAAAAATCTCTTGTCTATCTTCACCTCCTAATTATTCTCGATTTAGCCCTTGGATTTTAAGCAGATTACCAAAGTAAGTGACGTATCTAGTGTTTAGGCTGAGCTAAAAGCGTAGTCTACACTGCAGTGACATCACAGCTCAGACAGTTTCTCATCCTTGAAATTTGCAGTTCTTAAATCTATGGAGTCTATGCATTCATGGATAGTCTTCTCCCAATTGGAAAGTTCACGTGTGAATAGATAGGACGTGGAGATGAAAGGTAAAGGAAAGCTGACAAGCAGTCAGCTGTCCCTGATAGCATAGTATTCGTGGCTACTAGTTGTCAATCAAATGGAAAAAATGTCCTTGAGAGTTTCATTTTGTTGTTTGTGGTCCTAGACCCTGTAAAGAAAAGAAGGCAGCAAGGAGCTGTAGAAAGGGTGAGTTGTCTGCAGCCGTGGCTAGCTCAGCTGGCACAGTTGTCACTGAAGGGTTTTTCAGGATTGTCAGCTCAGCCATTTCTTAAGGCTGTGTCTTTGAGCAGCCAGCTGTTAATAAAAAACAGATGTTGACTGTGTCCTGCCTCCTTGTTTGCCTGGAGGAACCATGTCCTCACAGGCAAAGGTGCTGTTAGCTGTCCCACTGGCTGTCTCCGGGTGCTGTTTCTTCTATCTGTCCAGCGTATTTGCATCTGTTAATTTCTCCAGAAACTGTCCAGGGCAAACTTCTTGTCAAGAGACCCAGGGGACACAGCTGCCTGTTTCTTGTAATTTCTGCCTTTGTATCCAGGCTATTTGATGCCCTTCACCACCACCCCCTCCCCCTCCAAAAGAAGTTTTCTTGTTACCCTTTACTGGAAGTTACTTTAGAGGGGAGTATTGCTCTTTTTATATCTGGCATACATTCTCCCCTGTGTTTATTATGCATTATTCCATGGCCCTGCCGCAATATCTTATGGGGGGGAAGACTCTCAGGGCATCCTTAAAAATACTGTTAATTCTTAGGGTTATGGTAGAGGATTAGGTATAAGACAGTGGAAGCCAGGGAGTTGATTTTGTGCTAGAAAAAGAAAGAATACAGTCATATAGATATGCAGAGGTTGCTGTGGCTTGGGAGTCAGGTGGAGTCCCTGGAACATCTTGCCAGTATCAGAGCAGCATGACAGTTGAAAAAAGTTCTCGACATCTGCAGAGATGGGTGCAGGGTAAAGGAGACACGGAACTGTGTCCAAGGCAAAAGAACATGATAATGCAGAAGGAGGCCTAGATAAGACAGTGTTCCCGGGATACTGTAGATCCATCCAATTAAGTGAAGTGTAAG